CTGTTAGAAAGTGGTGGAATTGCTTGTTTCTGGATCCCACACCTGTATCTTCTCCACCTTCCAGCCCAGCTTCCCTGTGAGGAGAATCCCCACCGCTGAGGTGCCAGCCTGAGGCCACCCCAGCCCCTGGTGGCAGTGGGAGTGTTCACAGAGCCTGCAGGAGTCCCTTCTGCCTGAGTGTCAGCAGTCAGTCCTGGCTCCATACTTTCTTTGTCATCTTCCGTTCCTTAGCCAGAGACCCTAAATATGCATCTTCTATTTGTGACTCATCCTGTTTTTCTGTTTTGCTCATTATTAATAAAAATAGCTGACAAAACAAACAGTAAGACAACCCACAAAATATGAATGAACAACACATACCCACAGTCTCTCCTTTTTTTTTTTTTTCCTTTTGTTTTGTTTTCTTTCCCATTTTAGACACTTTGGGTGGTTAGTAAAATCTACCAGAATATATCTTAYTTGTTTTTAGGATCTGTCAGAAAATTGTCATGTTGTCTTGGATCTTGAGGCTGCTGTTTAGCCCACATCCCTGTTTGACATGAGCTAAGCCTGGGACTAAGAGAATAAACAGCCGCTTGTATAACATTTCCATAGAGAGGAGATTATTCTATGACACCCAAGTGCAGAAACTTTTCTGAGTCAGGGATGAGTGAAAATGTCAAAAGTTCTCCTGTGAGCTCTGAAACCAACAGCCTGCCTTTTCTCTCTGCCTTTAGCATCTGGGTTTTTTCCTTTACTGTTCTGAGTTGGGATTTTTCTCTCCCATTATGCTGTAAACTTTATGATATTAGCAATCAAGTTTCCTGTTTCAATCTTACTTCTAGTAGCACTTGATTTTTTATTCAAGGTTAGTGGAAAACATCGTATGAAGATATACAGATTAGCTCTGACAAGGAATTTGGACTTTATCTTATAGTACAATCACAGCACCTAAGGGACATGATACATATCAAACAGCAATTATTATGCCTTGAGGGGGGTTGGAGGGGGAGAAAAAGAGAGAGAGAGAAACACAAGGTAGTTATATAATTAGAATCTCCAGGTAGGTAGTTTTTTTTTTGTTGTTGTTGTTGTTGTTGTTTTGTTTTTTAATCCTCTAGTAGCTCATGTAAACATCCTGACCCTTACCAGGGGCATTGGAGAGAGTGAAGAGTCACTGAAATTTTTCAGTAGGAACACTGAGAGATAAAAAATGTTTGGAATGACATTGTTCAGGAGTGGTAGATTGGGGTGGGCATGAATCAGGCAGGATTCTAGTCATTTTGTTTTTAACGCCAGAAGTCTCTGAACAAGGCTGATGTAGTCCCCCTGGGCCCCCAACACTTTTTACTGTGACTGCTACTCCTTGCTCCCCCAGGGGTCCCTTATCATGATCCTAAAAGCAGTTGTATCAGACCCCAGGAGAGGAGGCCAGACTGACAGTAGGAGGAAGGAGAAGGTAAATTCCATACTGTTGCCAAATACAGATCATTACCCTCTTCCATTCTCTTGCTTTGCATACCATACATATAATTCCATCCTTCTGCCCCAGCCCACCCGTGTTCTCTGTTTCCTCACCCTTTGCTAGAGCAGCAAAATTTAATTTTTAATTTTTTTTTTTGGTAATGGGAATTGAACCCAGGGGTGCTTAACCATTGAGTCACATCCCCAGCCCTTTTTATATTTATTTTTAAAAGATAATTTATATATATATAATCTCCCCCACTTTTTATTTTTTGAGTCAGGGTTTTGCTAAGTTGTTTAGGACCTCACTAATTTGCTGAGTCTGGCTTTGAACTTGTGGTCCTCCTACCTCCATCTCTCAAGTTGCTGGGATTACATACAGATGTGCACCACTGAACCAGGCTAGCAAAACTTTAAAATGGGGAAAACCCACTCTCCTTGATGCAGAGTTTTGGGCGTGAGGACGGTCAGCTCTCCCTGCCAGGTCTGTGTTATGGGTTTGAATGTGATCTCCAGCTCACTTTGAAACTCTGAGTGAATTTTGTCACAGGAAGTAATTAAAGCAAGGTATGGTTGTGCACACCTGTAATCCCAGCTATTTGCAAGGCTAAGGCAGAAGATCAGCCTGGACAATGTACAAACACTCTGTCTCAAAATAAAATAGAAAGGGTTGGGGGTATAGATGAGACATAAAGTGCTTGTGAAGCATGTTGAAGATCCTGGGTTCAGTCCCCAATGCTAGAGAAAAACAAAAAACAAAAAAACAAAAAATTAATTGAGTGTTTGAGTATTCTTATTAATACTTTATATCCAGTTGGTGGACCAATTTTGGGAAAACAAAAACAAGAACAAAACCAAACTAAACATTGATAATAGTTTATCATGGAAGATCTGTTAGTTTTACTTGTTAACTTGGAAGACTTTAACTTATTTATTTATTTTGGTGTCGGGGATTTGACTCAGGGCCACTCAACCACTGAGCCACATCYCCAGCCCTATTTTGTGTTTTATTTAGAGACAGGATTTCACTGAGTTGCTTAGTGCCTCGCTGTTGCTGAGTCTGGATTTGAACTCGTGATCCTCCTGTCTCACCCTCCAGAGCTGCTGGGATTATAGGCATGCACCACTGCACCTGGTGACTTTAACCTATTTTTAAATCAGGAAGTGCCCACTTATGTCACTGTGTGTTAMAGCTTGAAGATAAATTCCTTCATTCAAGGGTACTTGGGATGTGACAACTGTCTTTCTGAACAAAAGAAGCTCAATAACACAGATGCCTCAGTCACCAGCATATTTGTGCCCTGAATATTATATAGCATTAAATTCACCAGAAAGACCAGCTTGTTGTAAAAGGCATATTTTAGGTGTTAAGTGCAATTCTCATTTGTAAAGAGGATTCCAAAATCAAATGCCTTTCTTATCATCTGTTTTTGTTTAAGATAGGTTCTGTGACATTTCTTAGGTTGTGGAGGAGCTAGAAGGTAGCAGGCTGGTGATGAGCATATGGAGAGCCCTGTTGGAGCCATGCCTAAACCCCTCCTGGGAATAGCATAACTAGAGAATAAGACTCCACAGTCTGCGCATTTCTGAGGGATTACCACAAACCTGGTTCTGTCATGGACTCAGCAAAAGGCAGAGTGATGTCAAAACTCTGTTGCCCAGGATATCTTGATGCTGACACRAAAAGAAATTCACAGAGGAGGAAAATGTCATTTTCACACACTTACCACAGGTGTTGAAAGGTTTTGTGGTTTTTAAAAAAATCTTTTCCATAAGCAGCTCACATATACAGGGGAGAAGTCAGTTCTTTCTAAGAACATTAGAAAAATGTGTGTTTGCCAATGAAGTTAATGTGAGTCCTACACACAACTTTGTATGCAGAATTGGGGAAGAAGCAATTCAGAAAACTTGGTTTTGAAAACTGAGATTCTTTTTTCCTCAGGGTTGGAGATTGAACCCAGGGAAGCTCTACCATCAAGTTTGCTGTGTCCTGAATGGCCATTAATTCAGGAAACCAGACTAGGGACAATGAGAGGATGAATAAAAGACAAACAGACACAAAAACAGAGAAAAAGCTGGGGCTCAGTGGATCACTAAACCCTGGTAGAGACATAGTGAGCCCAAACCAGCTCAGCATGTTTGTTATATAAGTCTTAACATCGAAAGAATTATTGTGAGAAAACAAAACAAGCAGAACCAAGGTACAAGCTGACAATTATAATTAGTGACTTACGTCCATAATTTTTTACCCCTGGGCAATTGGTCAAAAACTGATAGTTGGGCTGGATATATAGCTCAGTTGTTAGAGTGACTGCTTTGCATGCAGAGGGCCCTGGGTTGAATCCCCAGCACCACCCAAAACCAACCAAACAAAAAACCCTCCCCAAACCAAAAACAAAACAAAGAAACACCACCAGCATCACCACCACCAATAAAAAACGTCATAGTCCTGTGACTGGTGCAGAACCTCCTTATGAACAGGGTGTCACCATAGCAACTGGGAAGTTTCCATTGTCAATGGACTGAGAGTTCCTAGAAGAGGCATTGCTTCTGTTACAGGACAGCTCAAGGAATATAATTTATTTACCACTCCCAATACAAGTTACATCTCCAGCCCTTTCTATATTTAATTTTGAGATAGGGTCTCACTAAATTGGCTGAGGCCAGTGGCCTCGTACTTGTGATCTTCCTGCTTTAGCCTATCAAGTGGTTAGGATTACAGGCATGTAGCAGCACGCTTGGCTTGAAAACTGAGATTTGTATATAAAACAAAATCGTGAACACTGCATCTTAATAAATAGCACATTATGTGGAGAAGTGTAATGTGATATGCTTAAATACTTCATTAGAAGTCTATCAAWTTTTTTCACCTACAAAGTAGACCCGGTAATAGCTGTGCCACAGAGCTATTGTGGAAATAGAATAATGTAACATCCAGCACACGCTTGCACATAGAGGCCTGATAATGCTTGTATATAGTAAGTTAAAAGTATCAACTTTTCAAAGTGAATGTGATCAAAATATTAGGAATGTTTAAAATACGTACAGAATTTTATTTACGATGGAGACCTCCTTCTAGGAGCTAATGACATTTTCACTTTACATTTGCTTTTTAAACTAACTGCATTTCTTGTTTGATTACTTATCGTGGAATGRAAAGTCATGTCAAGACGTAAAGGGCTAAGGGAATTTCCATGAATTCTATGTAAGACTAAAATTAAAACATTATGATAAGGAACAGTGAGAGATACTAGGTTGAATGAAAAGTTGATTAGTTGATCATTCCCAGACCTTTTCTTCCTGCATCTCATATAAAGCTAAATTCCATTATTTTTTCATTTTGAGAGTATTACTTGTATTCACAACAGGCAAACAAGAAAACAAACAAACAAACAAACAAACAAAATAACAGGAAGAAAGTGGTAAAAGTTGGAAAAGCATAGAGTTCTTTATATCAAGGTCTTTATACCAGGTCTATGGATCCTGACTCCTCCACTGAGATGGTAAAGCAAACCTCATTGTTTTTTCTTCTACTTCTAGTGTTTCTGTTTGTTTTTTGGGTGCTGGGGATTGAACCCAGGGCCTCATGCTTGCTAAGCATATGCTCTACCACTGAGCTACACTCCCAGTCCTACCTCTAGTATTGAGGGTATTTATTGTATCTTATGCCTTTATTCTGTCACCTGATTACCTTTGTCAATGTCTGCACAAGCTAATTYTTTTTCAATGACTCTTCTTTCCAAATCATACAGTCACAGATGYCAGTGGAAACAACGGAACCACAGGCTTCTTGTTCTGGTGGAGAAGAACCTCCAGTCCTGGTAGCAGTTGCACATCTTCTGCCCCCAAATACCTATATTCACTTTTACTTTAAAGCTTCTGTGTGTGTATGTTGAGAGATATTAATTTGCTTGATAAGAATTTGTCAAGTGCTTGTGTGGTGGCTTGTCACTAAACTGGAACTACATTTTCCAGAATTAACTTCCCTGTGTGTCTTACGATTGGCATTGTCCATAAGAGAAATTTGCATGACATTTGGGAGACAGAAAAGAAGCACAGCCATTTTTTTAAAAAAAACTCTCCCCATTTTAAAAATTTTTAGTTGTAGATGGACAGAATACTTTTATTTTATTTATTTATTTTCACATGGTGCTGAGGATTGAACCCAGTGCCTCACATGTGCTAGGTGAGCTCTCTACCAGAACCCCACCGTAGTCCCAACACAGCCATTTTTTTTTTTTTTTTTTTTTTTATGTTGTGAAATTTGGTGCAGGGCAGACCCAGGGATGTTGTCACTGATCTGCTTGGCTTTACCTGGGTGACCAGGTGGAATGCACCTGGGCCTGCAGCTGCCTTGGCTTTTCTGTTTCCTGACTCTGTGTCGGTGGGTACTAGCTGCTTCTTCAGTTTTTGTGGTGGAGGTTGGAGATAGTAAGAGAGAGATGTGGGTTCCAGCTTCTGCTTTTTCTCCACTTTACATCCAGATATTTCCCCAACTATGGTTCCAGCTTACCTGTAGCAACCTTGGGCTTCTCATCAGATACAGAGGAAACATCCAGCTCCTCTCTTTCATGTACTCAGTGGCTCTGCCTCTGTGATTGACCTGTAACTGATGCAGTATGCTGAAACCAGATGTTGTGCTGGGCTTTGGAGGTAACAGTGCTGTCAGGTAAGTACTCCCCTCACTTAGGAAGCTCAAAATCTAGTTTGAGATATTATTATAATACAAAAGGAATAATATATGGCATTTAATTTTTTAATCAAGCTGAAGTTTTTAATAATACCCTTTTCACAGCACTTTTTACTTTTTAAAGATCTTTCTTGCTCTTTTATCACTGACATAATATCTTTACAGCTACAAAGAAGACTAAGCCCAGGTTTGAGATTTCCCTTAAGGTTAAGCAGAGATTTAAGACTACTACCYTATGGCCACAAGATTTGTAAGCAGAAGAAATTTAATTTTCTAGCATTGTTTTAATGAAATAGTTATGAAAATAAGTCAAATGTCTTAGTTTCATGGAGTAAATATTACTAACAATTGTGTTTACATATTATTAGAATATTTAAAAATTCAGAAAAAAAAACACCAAACATACATATTAATGGGATAATTGGTATCTCAGAAAAAATCACACTGGAATTTTTGACTTTCAAATAATTGTCTTGATGTCAAGTAGATGTTACCATAGAAATATGAGCAAAATGAAATATCAGCTGTTTGGTGACCTTTCATTTGATGCTTAGTTTCTTACAATTGGCATCCACAGGCTTCACTTTTAGATCAGCTACACCACAAAGTGACAGGAGAGAAGCTGAGATCAGATACTTTCACTGGAGGTGATTGTCTTTCATCTACCTACCTGAGGGGCATAGTTGGAGTGTCAGGCACTTCTGCCAATTATACCACCTAGATGGACATTGACAAGAAATGACAGTCATGACAGAGTTTCCTGCAGAGCCAAGAACTGCTGAGTGGGTCAGATCAGTAATCTAGCCAGCTCCAGATCTGCCTCTGTCTTTGGCACTAAAAGCAAGTTTATTATCCTCGGTGATGTAAGGATAAATGGCTATCATCCTTAATGTGTTTTTATAAAAATTGTTATTATAAAATTAATAYGTGTTGGTTTATAAAATTAAATTCTACAGAAGGTCATGGAAAAAAAGTAAAAGATTCCYTGGTTTTCCTCCTCTAATCACACTCCAGTTAGTCATATTCAAAAAATAATGTATACATTTAAATTTTTTTTTAAGTTGGAGATGGACACACAATATCTTTATTTATTTGTATGTGGTGCTGAGGATCGAACCCAGTGCCTTACACATGCCAGGCAAGTGTGCTACCACTAAGCTACAACCCCAGTACAATTTTTCAGACATTTTTAAGCCTAGATATTCATTTAACAAGTGTTTGTTGAGTGCCAACTAATTACTAGGCACTATTCTCAGTACTAGAATTATAGTAGTGAACAAAATAGACAAAAAACAATAATAATAATCATTTAGTTTTTCACTTAGCCTCTGGCAACACATACATATATATTAGTATAGATTAGCACCTGTAACAACTAGGCCCTACATTATTAATATCTCCAAATTCCAGAAATGTATTCTTGCAAATGTAATACRATTGGGTTGGGAACAGTCATTCAGGTACTCAGCGAGGTAGAGGCTCTGCTATCTTAAAGAAATGGATTCTAAGTTTTCAGAATATTTGGTGCTATTTTGATCATCTGGCCATGGAAGACAGGGTCATGAGGAAGTTTCTTATGGCTAGTCTTGGAAGTTTGGAGCAACACATCTCTACTAAAATTTCACTGGCTAGAATTCTAGGATCTCTCTCCCTCTCTTTTAAAACATTTTATTTATTTATTTATTTATTTATTTATTTATTTATTTATTTATTATTTATATATGACAGCAGAATGCATTACAATTCTTATTACACATAGAGAGCACAATTTTTCCATATATCTGGTTGTATACATAGAATACTTGTGTCTTCATACCTGTACTTTGGATAATAATGATCAGAATCTCATCACATTATTTACTACCTGTGTATTCCTGGGAAGATTACTTAACATCTCTGTACCTCTGATTATTTATCTGTAAAGCATAGATAATAAGAATGTCCACCTCATAAGGCTTTTATGTTKTTTACATTATACAAAATTACACACTATAAAATCTTTTTCAGGGGCTGGGGCTATAGCTCAGTTGTAAAGTGCTTGCCTTGCAAGTGTGAGGTACTGGTTTCAGTCCTCAGCACCATATAAAAATAAATAAAGATACTGTGTGTTCATCTATAACTAAATAAATATTTTAAAAATGTAGAGACTAGTATCAACATTATTTAAAAAAACAAAACTTTTTGGATAGCTCTTGCTACAACATTAGAGCTCAATAAATGTTGGCCATGGAAAGCAATTTATTTTTGTGCCAGAAAGAAGAAGGAAATATGAATTTTAGTGAGAAGTCAGCTGTTTCTGCTCAATAGGTCTAAACTTTTTTTTTCTATAAACAAGTAGGATCAAAGTTTACTCTTCTGAAATAGTTTTTACCTTAACATGGTCCAAATMTTTTCTCATGTTAGAACTATAAATCTACTTGTCACTTTTAACAGATTAAATATTTGTCTTCATTGCATATGGATGTATTGCAATATATTTTACTCTATGATTGACATTTAAAGGATGTCTAACATTACAAATGTTAAATAAAATTTGTGAGAGTCCATTTGATTGAACTTAGCTCCTGCTCTAGTCCCAATATACCAAATACCAGGCTGAAAGTAAGATGTTTACATGACCTTCTTAGAAATCCAGAGATTGGGGAGAGCGAGGAAGAGAAAGTGAGAGAGAGAAGCTAATTTCAAAATGGGACAGTTTTCACTTATATGATAATAAAATACCCTCTGCTTTAAYTTTCATTAGGAAACTAACTTTGAAACAACCGATCTACTTTTGTTCTGTTTCTGCTTATTCAGCCCTTTTGTGCTTATAAATCCAATACTAATGCAAAATCTTCTGCTAAGCTTATCAGAATGCTCATTCTATTACACACACACACATACACACATATATATGTATATATATACACACACACA